ACACACACACACACATGTACAGACACATTATAGTTGATTGGTTCCAGATTGCACTACATTCACATGTTTGCCGTTGCACCCGGTCGATTACCAAGTTTGCATTATACTGTACCATAAGTCATAGGTGTCAGACCGTACTGTGTACCATCTAGGCATATACATACATAGGTAAACAAATACATACATATAAATATAGATATGTATATGCTACGCCCGCTCCCTATTGAAAATCACGTTTTATTCCACATGACCTGACCCAAGGCAGGGAAGATGATGGCAGCGGTAGGACTGATGTCACGGCGACGACGATGACGATGACGATGACGATGATGATGATGATGATGATGATGATGATGACGATGTATGCCTTACGGCTTGGGATTGGTTTAAGGCCCGTGTTAATGAACGCCCTAACTGGGTGTCTTCGGAAGCTGTGGAAACTGAGATGACAGACCGAAAGCGATAGATACGTACGTAAGTAGGTTGATAGGCAGGCAGACAGGTAGATAAGATAGCTAATTTCTGATGGTTTGTGTGCAGGTTGCTTCCGTTTTGGTGGTAACCTGGCTAGAAGTTCTGTAACCAGAATCCAGGAGATCTTCAACCGTGGGCCCATTGCTTGCAACGTCGACGCCGTGCCCATCCTGAACTACACGGGTGGCATCGTCACCACGAAGCCGCTCGAAAGGATTTGGGTTTAGAATTTGGTAGTTTTAAGCAGTCATCATGTGACAGTCAAATAGAGCCATCACACAGATCACAAGGATATGATCAAGCAGCTGCTTCGTGTATCGCGTGGGATCCTTCTTCTCCCCTAAAACGGTGGCTTCGGTTCTTGCTGTTTGTGATGCAATCATGTTTCGCATTCAAACGAAAGCTGAGTTTCTGAAGATAGGCCAACGATCAGTCACTTAGTCCTGTTTGGAGTCTTGGGGCCGGGCATAGGTCTTCACGGAGGTCTTGCAGTTTGATGCTGTCTCTCTCAGAGGTCTTTTCCATGTTGTCATGGATTGGAGCAGGTCGAAGGACACTGACCACTCCATTTCCGTTGTCGGCTGGGGCACAGATGACAAGCTGGGCTTCTACTGGCAGGTGCTTCACACCACATGCACAGCCATGGGCCATGCGTATGCACCTGCGAGACTGCGTTGGTCTTTTTGGTTGTACAGTTGACACCCAGTGCTACACCCTTGATGTTATACAACATGTGTTCCTGACCAAGACACCATGTTGGCCGCGGCAGGTGCGGAATTCGTGGGGCGTGTTGGCTGAATTCGATGTGTCATTCTCTTGACTGGTTGGTCTGCAGCCGCTTTCAGCCACCAGTTATTGATGACAAGCTGCAGGCTATGTACTGTCCCGTCTAAAAAAGAGAAGCTGAGAACGCCAAACCCTAAACCCTAAACCCTCTACCCTCTACACCCTAGCCCTGGCGGAAGAAAGAAAGCCTAACCCGACCCGCTGTTTGGGATGATGCTCAGGTGAGTACTGGGGCGAGCAGGGCTACTTCCGCGTTCAGAGCGGGGCTCTGGCCTTAGAGCAGGCCAGCACCGTGTGAAGTTTGTGGTCTCCTCTACGGTTGCTCGTTTAGGGTTGAGGGTACTTAAAGGATCATGGGACTTAGTAAGTAGGGTTCTAATTAAGGTAACTATACTTATAACCCCAAGTAGGGGACTTATAACCTTACTTACTAAGTCCCATGATCCTCCAAGTACTTACTTCCTTTTCTGGTTTTGGTTTCGTTTGTTATCTCCCAAGGGGAGCAGAGACCCGGTCAATGGGACTTGATTTCGGCACCTGGAGGACAGCTGCACCTGGGCGACGCCGAAGGACTTCACGGCACCAGAACGGGCCAATTTGCCCCTTGATTGCATCATACGAAGTTCATAAAAACGACCGTTGGGGTAAAAGGCTTGGGGCAGAGCAGGACAAGGTTTAGGATTGAGGCTCAGAAGTTAAGGGCTTAGGGCTAAGGGGTGTAGGGTTCAAGGGCTTCGAGTTGTAGAGTTTACGGTGCAGGGTGCCTGCGACGCCCAATCAAACTTGCTGCAATCGCGAATCGCTGATGAAACCCTCAGCCCGTCAGGGTCAGACTTTGTTTTCGGTATCATAGAGTGAGATTCGATACGCTGCTACGTACTGTAATGGCATGATGATTTTCGCTGTAACTTGCAATTGTCGACGCAACTATTGATCGTGCCATCGAGGCCTTTTAACAGACAAGCGTGCGGTCTCTGATGCCCTATCGCCACGATCGATCGCCCCACCGACAAAAGCACGATATTCCTCCACCACAACTGATGGAAGTCCTGAAGTATCAAGATGACAGCAAGAAAGTTCAAGCCTCAGCAGTCCCTGTAACCCTAAGGCTACGGCCCACATGGGCGTACGGCAAACTTTGCCCCAACCTTGAGCCCCAAAAAGACCTTCCGCCCAAAACCTGCGTTGCAAGATCTGAGGCTCCACTGCTACGAGGCAGGTCCGAGCTTTCGTCCGTGGTGCAACGGAAAACCCTCGTAGACTCCCTAGGGTTTAGGGTTTAGGGTTTAGGGTTTAGGGCTCCAGTTACCTACATACTGGGTTACTGGGGTATATAATAGATGGCTAGTAACCTACGATTTAGGTAACTGGAGCCCTCTAGGGATCTCTGAAGCGCAAAGCGTCTTCCTTTAGGAGTCCTAGGTGGGTTTTATGTATCAGGAGCCACCGGATCAAAAGATCAAACTGTATAAGTGCCGTCTATGACCGAGGGTCACTCGATGATGTTGCCGTTCTTTGACCTTCGTGTTTTCACTCCAGCGGGGTCTTCGCAAGGAGGAGGGAGATCTGAGCATCGTGCAATCAGCATGCAGCAAATCCCACTACGAAACGACCCCGAGGTTGATTCATAATGTTTCAGACAATTTGTTATACTGTGGCATATCCCACCGTCCCACATCCAAACCTAACATATGAAGTCGGATACGAGCTAGTAGTTATACTACCAAAAGCCTTTAGATTTTGACCCTTGAGCACACATTCTCGACGCCCCGGTGCCTTTGCTGCTTCATGCGGCCGGAATTCCTATGGTCCCTTTACACGTGCACTGCGCAATGTAGGGGCCTAAATAATTGCCAATTCTATTTTGGGGGTTCCTTACTATAGTTATAGTATAATACACCCCAAAACCCTATTCTAATTATTAAGGCCCCTATAGCCCCTACATTAATGTGAACTTGCATAGGATGGTTCCAACTGCGCGGCCGCCGTTTCGGCCACTGAGCTCGTTGTGTGAGCCGGGTTGGTGCCAACGGGTGCCTGCGGAAGCATTTGGGCAGTTTTCTAAATTAGGGTCTAGGGTTTAGAGTTTAGGGCTTTAGGGTTTTAGGGTTTAGGGTTTAGGGTTTGGGCAGTTTTCTAAATTAGGGTCCCTTTTAGGGTCCTTTTTATAAGGGTGCCGTATTCTTTAGAGAACTACCCACTTGGTTCAGGGTTTGGGGGCTGTAAATCAAACACCTACTTGCGAATTTCACCTTGGTGTATCCCTTCACATCCAATCCAATTCCTACGCGCCTAGGTCTGAACCTTACACACTCGTAAACTGGTCCATATACCCCAAATCCATCCCCCACGTCCCTTAAATCCGAACCCTGGAGCCGGGAACACCTGAAGAGCTGTTGAAATTCAGCTCCTGTGAGCCTTACCACTGCTACGGTGAGGCTTTAGCCGACTCATATTGCCGTTTTCGCTGGTTGTTCTACTATCATATGTCTTTTTTTTGTTCTCTCTCTCTCTCTCTTTTTTGTCGGAGTCTTCGCATCGTAATTGGAAGCACTGCAGACCTCGGAATCCCCGAACTCCTATGTCCCTCGTTGCTGAATGCTGCTGCAAGTAGGAGAAAAGCAGTCAACGGCAGCAACTGAAGCCTTCCTCCAACATCGTGGACCAGCAACCCAGGCCCGGATGACTTAAATACAGAAGCCTTAATTAATAATTACCTATACTATTTTCGGGCTTTCTTACTATCATTACAGTATGATGGGCCCCAAAACCCTATTCAAATTATCAAAGGCCCTACATTACCGTGACATGACAGTCGCTCCGAGGTGTCTTAGAGCGTCCATTTGCTGGATCCCGTGCGTACCTGAGGACGCCGCTATGCGGGAGTTTCCGAAAATTAGGGGTACCTTATTTTGGAGTCCTTATAATAAGGATCCTACTATTTAGGGTCCTATATTGGGGTCCCCTATTCTCGGAAACCCCCATGCTTGTACGAGTCCCAATAACTTGGCGTCTTATTCAAATTATTAAGGGCCCTGCATTAACATATTATACCCTAAACCCCTAAACCCCAAACCCTAAATAGTCGACCCTTGAAACAAAGCCCTCATTCCAGGGAGAACTTGGGAGTGGTCGGCGCTTTAAATTCCCTTACAGAAATCCTTGTAGACACCCTATGAGCAACATGAAAAGCAACCATCTCAGTAATAGTTCAAGGAAGCTGCATCGTAACATGTGAAGGAACCCTTATAGCAACACCTGAAGCAGTCCTTACAGGAGCCTCGGGCTTGGAAAGCTAGAGACCTGTGCCCTGTAACGACCAATCTGCCGAGTGCGCCTTGAAGTTGCTGGTAGCTGCTGGTGTGCATTGCATTCATGATACCTTTATGCATGTTTGCACCTGCATGCTGTAGTCATGAATGCCTGATTTCCCGTTATGGTCAACATGTTCAATTCGCCCACTGACGACGCCTAACACGAAACCCTTACGCCTTCAGTCGTTGAGACAGATCACCGCCCTCAACAAACAGGCAGTATCTGCACATCTTGACATGTGTTCTCTCTCTCTCTCTCTCGCTCTCTCTCGCTCTCATACACACACATGTATATATATATATATATGTATACAGTTAGATATAGTTTCATAGATAGAGAAGTCAGGAGCCCCAGTCTTTACAGATGTTTCTATGCAGCATTACATAGTGTACATGTGTATATACGTACCATCACTTTTGCATTCATGTATATAATATATACACACACACGAACTACCCGCAGACAAATGGTTGTGAACCCTCAACCGCAACTGGAGTCTGGGAGGAGCCCCGCCTGAGGAATCACCGGGATGAGCGGCAGCATGTTCCAAGCCGGGTGGGGCGTTTGCCTAGAAAGGTCCGTGGCGTGCACGTGGGAGAGTTTCAAAATACCCAATCCCAAGATGCTTAAGATAGAACCCACCAAGGGCTCCAATTCTGAGAAACTCTCATGCGGGTTGTGGGTATCTACTGTCGAGTACTTTGGGTTTACATTCTAGGTTAGGCGTTGAGGCACTACTAGGGTAACGAGGGCGCCATCTGTACCGGCATCTGTTTAAGAAGTTTAAGAGCAGTTAAACAAGGAAGGACTGCAAGGGGCAAGCAGGGGTCAGGTATTGAGGCTTCATACTGAGTCCTCGTACTTACGAAGCCACTGAAGCCTCGAGCTATATACAAGAACAACGTTGATGCGACACCCAAGCCCAAGCATCTCGAGATCCTGAACCCTGAGACCTGATTCGAATCAGAAAAGACTGAAGGCTATCATAATACTAATACTACTAATATTACTTATATTACTCATATTAGCTAATACGAATACTAATACTAATACTAATACTAATACTAATAGTACTAGTAACATGTGTTATGGAGTGCCATCAAGATGAACGGACCTTTCGGGGCTAGCTTTCTGAGTGCTGATTGGGCCTCCGAAGGGCCTGGCTGTAGCAGCGCGACGCCTCCAGCGATTTCAAAAAGCGGCACCTTTTGCTGGTGGCTATAGGCCCCATAGTAGTTCCTTTTTGGGGTTCATATATATTTAGAATGTGGGGGGGCTTTTGGCCATAGGCCCCTTATAGTAGTTCTTCCTTTTTTGGGGTTCATTTAGTGTCCTATTAAGTAATCCCAAAGAGGAACTACTATCTATGGGGCCTATGGGTAGGCCGTGGGAATGCTGCTCGTTCAGTTTCAGCCCATGGGACGATGTACCTCTTGCAGGGGTCGTGATGTAGCTGCCTGCCTTCGTCGAATCATACCTCGCAGACAGGAGAACCATGCCAACAACTGGGAGGAGGCGCCGGGTGCTGGCATTCGTGCTTCTACATTTTCAAAGCTTGAAGCCAAGCGCTGGAACACTTCCGGCGTTCGGAATCGTCAACGAAGTGGCTTGCCGCAGCATCCCAGCCGGCTATCTCGGTGTCCCACTGCCATCACAGCCCCCTGTCCGAAGTGTTGTTGGTGGAAAGCAGAACATTTGGTCATCCTTTGGCAATGTGACTTTGTCAGCTCTTGATAAAATCAGTCGGAGCCGTGCTGGTCGTCACACTCCCTGTGTTTTGCCCTGCCGCCCAGGCAACAAAATTTGACAAAGTTGGGCGTCCCTTGATGACCGATTTTGTCAACCGTTGACAGCTGCGGGACAGGTTTTGTCAACAGTTGACAAAATCTGCTCGTGAGACGTGGAGTAAGTTCCGGTTTTGGGCAGACCCAGATAATACAATGAGGCTGCGGTTGCTTTGAACCACCGCTCCTGGCAAAGCTGGGCAACATGACCACACATCAGCACCAACGCATGGTTCGAAATCCCATAGGCTTGGGAACGCAAACTCCGAGACCACCAACATCTCGTGATTGCGACTGCTAAGAAATTGGCATTTCCGAGGACTGACAACGCCATCACGTACAAGTATCAAGGTACTCCTTTACGATATTTATGCTGTTGACCGCGTAGGCGAAGCATCGAGCCAAAACAGACCCAAGAGTCTCAATATTCGTATAATTCTGGCTCACATGAGATGCCAGGTTGGCAGCAATGTCTAACATGGACAGACAAAAGTGTCAAATCTCTGAGCTCCAGACCCCCAGAAGCCTAAAGCTTCACGTATGTCCAACCCGCTTTCAAGAATCACGGGACCTACCTGAGAAGTTGTCGTTGGGATTACATGAAGCTTGCTTTGCTCTATCTCCGACTTTAGCTCAACCCGATCAGAACACCGCGTGTGCCCTAAACCCTATAATCCTCAAACCACGGTATGCAGGCGGTGAGCTTCTGGGCCGTCAGCTTTGCACATGAGCTGGCGCATTTCGAGTCCCCCCTCCATGACAGGCCCCGGAGGGTTGAGGGCTGTAGGATTATGTTTTGGCTTGACATTGAGAGTATCGGATGCCCATGCTCTGGCCGAATTACGCTAAGTTTCGCCTTGGATGCTTCTACAAGAACAGGTTTTCGGTTTGAGAACACGCAGCAGTATCTGAGCGCTGTACCGCGAAGGAAACCGCGCTATCATCTGCACACTGACAGTAGGGCTTCGGGCAGGCAACACGGTCGTGCAATGGAGATGTCTCAGCGAGCGGTGCTGCCTGGTCTGGCGCACCCCAACCGCATCGATTCTTGCAGGTCTTGAAGTCTTGGGCCTTCGAGGAATGCCCACGCAGGGCTGCCTTTCATTGAAACAGAGTTCAGGTGTTCCGGGGTTTAGGCCATGAGTGAGTACAGCGCTTCGAACGTCAGAGTGGCATTGTGTGCCATGTCCCAGTACACTTTGGCATCCTTCCACCCCCCGAACCCTGTCAAAATAATATAGGGCTTCAATAACTACCTATAGTTCCTTATTATAATTCTACTATAAAGGACCCCCCAAACCCTATTCATTATTTAGGCCCCTATAGTAACATAGTACCTCCAGACCCGTTGTAGCATTAAAACGTGCTGGAGACCCTAACACACTCTCAAGCTCAAGGTGCAGAAGTGAAACCCACAATGAGACCCTAAACCTCCATCCTAAATCCTACTACAGCATAAATAAAACCCAAAGCCTACCTTATAGATCCGCTATTTCATCAGCCCTGTCTTTAAAAAGTCCTAAACCCCTAAACCCCTAAACCCTAAACCCTAAACCCCTAAACCCTAAACCCTAAAACCCTAAACCCTAAACCCTAAACCCTAAAACCCTAAACCCTAAACTAAAAAGAGCTAAAGACCTATCCTTCGGCCTGCCCGGGCCCAGCAAGGCGAGTCCTCTCAAAGCCCTGGGGCTCCGCCCGCCTCTCAGAATACGCTGGTGTCCGGACATCCGGGTGTTTAGGATTTAGGGTTTAGGGTTCAGGGTTTAGGGTTTAGGGTTTAGGCAGTTCTCTAAATTAGGGTTCCTTTCTAGGATCCTTTTTTATGAGGGTGCCGTACTATATCGGGGACCTAAAATGGGACCCTAATTTAAAGAACTACAGTACCCATTTCGAGAGTGCACTGGCAACTCCC